GATTTGACTAATGTAAATTTATTTTTGTTCAATATGATATGTTCTTGATTGTCTTACTTTATTGTTTAGATATTTAATTCGCCGTGTTAACTTTATATTATCTTGTACCTATTTTGAGTTAATTTGTTTGCTTGTCCCTTAATACATTGCAAGTTAAATGTAAATGTAATAAATGTATGTAAATAAGAGATCGTAAAATTAATAGGATTTGGGAGAGTCCACTAGACAAACTTTCAGGTTTCTTGGGCTCTCCAGCATATATTTGCTTGTATATAATTTCATTTTATACTGTTACTTTTTTATGTGCAAATTGACAATAAAAAAAAACAGTAAGGCGTTTGTCTAACATCTAAGCTCCTTCTTTACGTTCCATACAAGAGGACGTTTCTAACCTAAGCTAGGAACCGATTTTCACATGGGCAGAGTGAGGAAATCGGTTTTAAGTGCCTTTCTGAAGGACACAGCAGTGGGGCCTGCCATTTGTAACCAGAACCGTTGGATTGATCCTAACCGCATGACAAGACCGCTCTATATAGCTACCTCCTTTACATGGAACACGCTCAAGGCTGTGCCTAAGGGGGCGTTACAATTACGTTAAAAGCAGCGGAAACTGACAGAAACTGAATGAAGGAATCAACATAATACAGCTAGCACGTGGGCCGGACTCACGTTGACTGCCAGTCTTTTTTTCTTTCTTCCGAAGCCCTAGAGTAAAAATAGATGAGTCTGGGAAGCCGACCTGGGAGGCTGGCGACAGTCAGCGTGTGGTCAGGGTCGTTAGCACTGAACGAACAGACGGCAGTTGTTATCGGACTTTTAGGCCACAACGACTTGATTTTATGGATGACATCCGCGCGCGCATTGATTTTCGCCTGTTCTCAAAGAAAAAGATAAAAAAATCACGTCCTCCAAGGCTCTGATTTGGCTCTAGGCTCAGTAGTCCATGGTAGTTAGCGACAATGCAGAGCCGGTGGTATAACTCTGGAGGACGGCACCCAGGCTGCCGATCGAAGCTCCATGACTCAAGAACTCAGTACATACGTATAGTGCCAATTCATAAATTCAGCAATACGTCGCACTGTACTGCCGCAAATTACTAGTAACAATACCAACCATAGAAAATTGGAAAGCGCAAATAGCTGGATAGTCTATGTTTAAAACTTTAGTACAACAGTATCAACTGTCACTAGACTGAATTTAGACTGAAAAGACATATGGCAGATACTGTTGTTTAAAAATGTTTATATGAAATGAATCTTTATATTATTGCATATTCCTGTCCATATGCACATGTGACCATATGTGGTCTAGAGCATGTAAGACATAAGTACAGAACAGTTGACTCTAACAATGCTACAGTTAAACGCTAAATATCAAAATTCTATCTATTAAGATAACACTGTGTACTATTGTTTATCTGCTAATAACCATTGTTTCTTCTCTCATCTTAAAACACACAGTAACATATCTACAAACTTTATCTACTATATGTTCATTCTTGCATGACATTAGTTGTGTGGATATATAGATTAATGTGCCTATAGCTAGGTATTTAATACAAAGATGATGAGTTGTCAGGTGAGGTGCTCATTGATATCAGTAATTATGTGCTGGCGGTGCCGATGAAAAACCAGTTAATGTTCTAGTGTGTTGGGTCACAATCATTTCACTCCTGAAACCTACCAGTATTGTTCGACGAGATAAGGAAATCTTCGCCTAAAGGTTACGCTTGCGTCAGTTGTCATAAACAGACCGCCCCTAGCACGAGCCATGTCCATATTAGGCCAAGCATATCATATTCCCACGTTTATGCAAACAACTGTGTGACGCTAACAGCAATCCCATGAATCCTTCCAGATTTGCTGATCACCAAGCCGCGCGGAAGACTTGGCGGTACAGTCAACAACGCCGACCTAGAATACAGATTTAGCAACTCTTCCCTGTTGAGTAGGTACCATCAAACACGGTGTATCCTGTCAGATTAGCATTTCCGTCAGCCTCTCTGGACCAGAGGGGTTTTTGCCAGAGTCTAAGCAGCAGCGTCAGCATGGCTGAAGCCGCGAAAACCAACCTGACCATCAGCGAGATCTGGGACACGTACGGCGACTATGGCCCCGACATCGTCTCCATAAACGGGAAGAGCGAGGACAACTGCAGCTACAAGATCAGCGAAGACTACCTGGCCTACAACCGGGGGGACTCCCTCGCGGCCAGCATCTTCGTGGGCACCATCTACGTCGCGACGATCGTGACCTGCGGCATCGGCAACATCCTGCTCATGGCCACCATCGTCATGTACAAGAAGATGCGGACGGTGACCAACGCCCTGATCGCGAACCTCGCCTTCTCGGACTTCATCGTGTCCGTGGTGTGCGTCCCCTTCATCATCGACTATTACGTGGTCCGCGCCGAGAGGCCCTGGTTCTACGGAGACACCATCTGCGCCGTCATCAACTACCTGCGGATGGCGTCTCTCTACGTCTCCACCAACTCGCTGCTGCTCATCGCCGTACACAGGTGAGCCGCATTATGTTTTAATTGAATGAATGAAGACCTTTATTGTACATTTTTTGACAATCATATACATATACAAATACATATAACTGTTACATATGTACGTCTAATGTATTTTAGTCCTTTCAACTTCCTCTCGCTTCTCAGTAATTGTACACATGTATGAGGTTGTATGAGTAGTTGGATTCGGTTTATCAAAGGCTAACAGGAATACAAATTTTTCTTTACTTGTCAGGTATCTGAAGTGGGGAAATTTACTTAAAACATGTCCGAAAAGTATGCGTTTATTTTATCACTGTCATAAGCAACATTAGCCATTTCGTCACAAATTAATAATTTCCATCGGGAACTATGAACACTTCAGTAGCTGTAATGATTTCCTTCTCTAAAATGTTCGTGGCAATGGTCAGTCATTGATTCTGCCTGAGTGTATTCAAATGTGCTTTTTAAAAAATTCCTACGACGTAACAGGTCAAACGATACACATTTTTCAATCTATTCTTATATTGTTCAAAGACGTTCGATAGATTTCCCATGTGTACGTACAATGGGCAGCAACTCTTCTTTTCAATGAACAAATACTACAACCTGATGTCAGGTAGTGCCAAACATAAGTGTTTTTCTAAGACATTCAGGTCAGGCGTGCACGCTCTTAATTTATTTTCGTCATCATGGGTAAGACCTTTTCAAGTCACGAAGATATCTAGGTCAGGCATGCAGCTTTCTTAAGTAATTCAGTGCACGTTTTTAATTATTCATTACAACCATGGGTCAGGAATTTTCAAATTTCTGATTAACATATGAGGTATATATAACCAGGAAACTAGGTCAGGTAGCGGTCCATATTGCCGACCTGTATAGAGCTTTTAAATCTCTAAGGCTCAGACAGTCAGATAATTAGCTTCAGTATGGATAGGCTTGGAGGACGTTTTGTCTGGTCCAAAGTCCTTTAGTTGGTGCGTACCGCGTACAGGGAACACTAAATAATGCTGTTGACCTTACATAAATGCTAGTGCGTGGGCAGGGTATGGCCTTTATTATGGCTTCACAACTATGTGATGAAGACATATTGTTATGGCTTCACCACTATGTGGTAAAGACATATTGTTTTTCCTCTCCTCTTTCTCCTCATGCCATTTCTTTAAATTGATTCAACACCTTCATTTCTGGGCCAAATAATATTGAAATTTGGCATGGAGGTAGAGTGGTGATGTTTTTGCAATCAATATAAAAGATTAGAAAGTTTGTTGCAAATAAATGCATTGTTATTGCTGGATTGTATCATTTTGCAGGCTTGAAATTGCAATCAATATAAAACATTAGAAAGTTTATTGCTTATACATGCGTTGTTATTGCTAGATTATATAGTTTTGCAGGATTGAAATTGCACTCAATGTAAAACAATTAGAACGTTTATTGCAAATACAATTGCTGGATATTATTTATAATATTGTTTATAATATTGCTGGATTGTATCGTTTTGCAGGCTTGAAATTGCAATCAATATAAAACATTAGAAAGTTTATTGCAAATGCATGCTTTGTTATTGCTGGATTGTATCGTTTATAAGGCTTGAAATTGCAATCAATGTAAAATAAATAGAAAGTGTATTGCAAATACATGCCCGAGGGCTAATTGCAGGTACAAACAACACGTATGAAGAAAAGAAAATATGTACAATGGTATGAGAGACTACGTCTAACATTACACTACATTCTACAACATACGTGATACTAATTTTGCTGGGTTGGACTTCTTCTTCTGAGGCAGTGGAAGACGAATCTACCCACTTCATCTACATGTATAATATGTGGGTTCTCTGATTTAAGTAGTAAAATTGTTTTCTCGTGGTAGGGGATAGTGGGAACGTAATGGAGAATTTTGGACACGACGGTAAATAATTGTTTCCTGAGATCGTCATAAGGACACTATCTTGCTGATGTGATTCGAAACAAAAACAGTGATGATTGTATCGAATCAAATTATATTCTCAGCAAAAAAATAATCCGACAGAAAAATAGCAGAGAGACTTAACCATAATCTTCACATCATGACAGGAAGCCATGGAAAATTGGGTCCTAGTAATGTGCATTTTATTTCCGGAGACCGTGTTGCACCGCTGGGTTTCAGTGTCGTTTATAGAGAAAAACATGTTACTGGACGTTAACCATTACATCCAGCACTATCACGTAGGGAATGACCTTTATCTCTGATACACACATGTCGAAACCGCTAAAACCACCTCAATGGCACTCACCAATCCAACCAATACCTAGTGGCAGTAAGATCAAGAATGATGCCTCCAGACGAAAAGGATTTCACTTTTTTTAACCGCCCAAATCCCCATCGCCATATACGAGATCCCAGAAGATTTTTTTACTGTCTGCCTTGCAGAATTATGAACTCAAAGATACGCCGTTTACTAAGACAATCGTCTTCTGGTAATGTTTCCTCACTCCTGGAAAGGCAGTACATATACATCTTCTGCACGAGATTTTTTACTACTGATAACGATATTTTTATGGCGTTTTCGTCAATGATCAGTGACTAGAAAAGTGCCATGAGACCAATATCAAGAATAATGCCTCCAGACGAAAAGGATTTCACTTTTTTTAACCGCCCAAATCCCCATCGCCATATACGAGATCCCAGATGTTTCCCAGAGTTTCCCCACGAGATTGTCTTCTGGTAATGTTTTCCTCTTTCCTGGAAAGGCAGTACATATACATCTTCTGCACGAGATTTGTACTATTGATAACGATATTTGTTTTGGCTTTTTAGTCAATGATCAGTGACTAGAAAAGTGCCATGAGACCAATATCAAGAATAATACCTCCAGACGAAAAGGATTTCACTTTTTTTAACCACCCAAATCCTTATCGCCATATAACGAGATCCCGGAGGATTTTTACTGTCTGCCTTTCAGAATTATGAGCTCAAAGCTACGACGTTTACTAAGACAATGGGCTTCTGGTAATGTCTTCCTCACTCCTGGAAAGGCAGTACATTTACATCTTCTGCACGAGATTTGTACAAAGCTACGCCGTTTCCAACTATAAAAGTCTTCTGGTAATGTCTTCCTCACTCCTGGAAAGGCAGTACATATACATCTTCTGCACGAGATTTGCACTCTTGATAACGACATTTTTCTGGCTTTTTCATCAATGATCAATTTCAACCATGAGACCAATATCAAGAATAATACTCCAGACGAAAGGGATTTCACTTTTTTTAACCGCCCGAATCCCTATCGCCATATACGAGATCCCAGATGATTTTTACTGTCTGCCTTGCAGAATTATGAGCTCAAAGATACGCCGTTTACTAAGACAATCGTCTTCTGGTAATGTTTCCTCACTCCTGGAAAGGCAGTACATATACATCTTCTGCAGGAGATTTGTACTATTGATAACGATATTTTTCTGGCGTTTTCATCAATGATCAGTTACCAGAAAAGTGCCAGGAGACCAATATCAAGAATAATACCTCCAGACGAAAAGGATTTCACTTTTTTAAACCACCCAAATCCCCATCGCCATATACGAGATCCCAGAAGATTTTTTTACCTGTCTGCCTTGCAGAATTATGAGCTCAAAGCTACGACGTTTACTAAGACAATGGGCTTCTGGTAATGTTTTCCTCACTCCTGGAAAGGCAGAACATATACATCTTCTCTACGAGATTTTTACTATCGATAACGATATTTTTCTGGCCTTTTCATCAATGATCAGTGACTAGAAACCATGAGACCAATATCAAGAATAATACCTCCAGACGAAAAGGATTTCACTTTTTTTAGCCGCCGAAATCCTCATCGCTATATACAAGATTCCAGAGGATTTTTACTGTCTGCCTTTCAGAATTATGAGCTCAAAGATACGCCGTTTACTAAGGCAATCGTCTTCTGGTAATGTTTCCTCACTCCTGGAAAGGTAGTACATATACATCTTCTGCAGGAGATTTGTACTATTGCTAACGATATTTTTCTGGCGTTTGCGTCAATGATCAGTGACTAGAAAAGTGCCATGAGACCAATATCAAGAATAATACCTCCAGACGAAAAGGATTTCACTTTTTTTAACCGCCCAAATCCACATCGCCATATACGAGATCCAAGAGGATTTTTACTGTCTGTCATGGAGAATTATGAGCTCAAAGCTACGACGTTTACTACGACAATGGGCTTCTGGTAATGTTTTCCTCTTTCCTGGAAAGGCAGTACATATACATCTTCTGCACGAGATTTGTACTATTGCTAACGATATTTTTCTGGCGTTTGCGTCAATGATCAGTGACTAGAAAAGTGCCATGAGACCAATATCAAGAATAATACCTCCAGACGAAAAGGATTTCACTTTTTTTAACCGCCCAAATCCACATCGCCATATACGAGATCCCAGAGGATTTTTACTGTCTGCCTTGCAAAATTATGAGCTCAAAGTTATGCCGTTTCCTACTAGATTGTCTTCTGGTAATGTTTTCCTCACTCCTGGAAAGGTAGTACATATACATCTTCTGCACGAGATTTGCACTATTGATAACGATATTTTTCTGGCTTTTTAGTCAATAATCAGTTACCAGAAAAGTGTCATTTTGTACTGTCTGCCTTGCAGAATTATGGGCTGAAAGCTACGCCGTTTCCAACTATAAAAGTCTTCTGGTAATGTTTTCCTCACTCTTGGAAAAGTAGTATGCATCTTTTGCACGAGATTTGTACTATTGATAACGATATTTTTATGGCGTTTTCGTCAATGATCAGTGACTAGAAAAGTACCATGAGACCAATATCAAGAATAATACCTCCAGACGAAAAGGATTTCACTTTTTTAAACCGCCCAAATCCACATCGCCATATACGAGATCCAAGAGGATTTTTACTGTCTGTCATGGAGAATTATGAGCTCAAAGCTACGCCGTTTACTAAGGCAATCGTCTTCTGGTAATGTTTTCCTCACTCCTGGAAACGTAGTACATATACATCTTCTGCAGGAGATTTGTACTAT